TCATTAACAAGAATTTTGTTCTTATCCCCCACGAAAAGAGGCCCAAAGTCGAGCGTTTCTTTAAAGACAATATTGCAAAAGGGAAGTCTGTGGCTACGCAAAAAATTGGCGAGACCGAAGAGGATGCTGAAGCACACGACGGGGACGGTGCCGACACAAATTTCACGCAATCGGATTGGATGGAAAGATTTTTCAATCAATTGACATCATTCGAAGGATATGCGCGGACACAGTTAGATGCAATTAATGCTCGGTTAGATACAATTGATGCTCGTTTGGATTCATTGGCTGCTACTCGATCCATGGGACCCGACGTTCCCTCTTCATCCACTCATCCACCGTAAAAGTTCTTCAGTTTCTTGCAATTTTTTGTGGACTGTACTGGTGGTAAAATGCTACTCCTATTTAATGTTAGTTTTTGTTTGTTTTGATTGTTTTGATGTTTATGGAACATGTGATGACTTGAATTCAATGTTAGTTTTTGTTTCTTTTTATGGTTTTCATGGTTATGAAACATGTGATGGTTTTGATGGTTATGAACATGTGATGGTTATGTTTATTTCAACTAGAGAAAAAATGGCCATAAAATGAATGAAATTTTAGAGTACCTTTTTCTTGAGAAATAAATTTTGAACTCCGGTTGATGTTCCAACCGTGACTGGCCGAGAGTGTACCTGAACCGCGGCTGGAAGTTCAACCGCGAGTTAAGATGGTCCTTTCAAAGGAAATTAGTTCAAAAAGTCATTCACAGCCGGTTGACTTCTCAACTGCGGTTGGCCGAGATAGCACCTCAACCGCGGCTCGCAGTTCAGCCGCGGTTGAAGATTGTTCTTCCTAGGAGAACAGTTCAAAAAGTCATTCACAGCCGGTTGACATCCCAACCGCGGTTTGCCGTGAGTGTACCTCAACCGCGGATCGGGCTGCAACCACGGCTCAAGACAGCTTTGCTTAAGGGGTCGTAATTGCGCGATGTTGTGTCTTGAGCAAGAAACATGTTTCTTGAGCAAGAAACAGGTTTCTTGAACAAGAAACCTGTTTCTTGAACAAGAAACCTGTTTCTTGAGAAAGAAACTGGTTTCTTGATCAACAAACTGGTTTCTTGAGCAAGAAACATGTTTCTTGAGCAAGAAACCTGTTTCTTGAACAAGAAACCTGTTTCTTGAGCAAGAAACCGCAACTGTGACAAGAAACCTATTAATTTCGAACCGCGGCTGGAAGTACAACCGCGAGTTAAGATGGTCCTTCCAAAGGAAATTAGTTCAAAAAATCATTCACAGCCGGCTGACTTCTCAACTGCGGTTGGCCGAGAGAGCACTTCAACCGCGGCTCGCAGTTCAGCCGCGGCTGACGATTGCTCTTCCTAGGTTTCTTGTTCAGAATATCATTCACAGCCGGTTGACGTCCCAACCAAGGTTGGCCGAGAGAGTACATCAACCGCGGTTCGATTTTTAACTGCGGCTCGATGTTCAAAATACCAGCTGAAATCTTTTTTGTGTTTCTTTTTATTTCATTTTCACTTCAACTTTCATTCATCTTAAAAATAACTAAAACAAACATAACAAAACTACACACATCAATATGTCCCACAAAGTTATTACGTTAACCACACACAAATCAATAATACAAATAACAACCCAATTATGTCTTGCCACAAACAAACTAGGTAATGTTTTGAGGACACTTGTTCCTACGGTGGCCGGGTTGCTTACATTTACCACACAAATGAACTTTGGTAGCGGAACATCCAGATTGAGTTGGTTGCTCAACATTTTGGACTAACGCAACACAAGTTGTAGAGTAATGCCCACTTTCATGACATCGTGTACAAAATGATTTACGTCGAGAGCTCGAAGAAGGGCCAGTAGAAGGTATGCGGTTTGACCTTGGTCTTCCGGCTTGCTTGGGATTAATAGGGCATTTGACAACCATCAAACTAGGTGCTGTAGTTAAGTCCCAAGTACTTGGATGCGCAATTGGCATGATTATGGGGTCGTAAAGTTTGCGCCATGTTGTGGTCTTGTAGTAGTCGTGCACATATCCATACACCGATTCGTTTGCCTTCATAAAAAAATAATGGAAGACAATATAACATTTTCTTATGTGTAACATAACATATGTATGTAAACGTTGAGGCTTTTATTAAATAAAAAAAATGAAAAAATTACCCGATAGCCTTAATCGCATGTGAACAGGGCAATAAATCCACCTGAAAGAGATAACAAGTGCAAGTCCGATCATTCAAATTAACGACAAAATTCTTGACCCCATCCTTCACGTGGTAAACGTAGTGATTGATATTTGAAGCTTCCATTTGGTCCGCTTCGATTTTATAATCCATTAAACGCTTAGATATTGACGGAGGAACTTCACACTCAGTCTTTTCTGCCTCGACACGCCTTTTGTGAAACCACTCTTGCATAATGTTTCGAATACATTCAAACAATGAGCAAACAGGCAATTTCCTTGCCCAACGCAACCTATTGTTAAGCACCTCACAAGCATTTGACGTCATGAAACTATATCGCCTCACGGGACATTGACTTCGTGCCCATCTAGTTGGAATGGCTTCATCAATCAAAACCTTTTTTGTGTTAGGATATTTTGCCGCAAGCATAGCCATTGACTTTTCGTACACAACGGAAGAATAAGTGTATGAAGCTTTCATATATAAACCAACAGCTTTACACCCGTGACTTCGAATATTTTGTCGAAGGTGGTAGGAACATATGGCATGTACGGCTTCAGGGTAAACAACCTCCATAGCAGACTTTATGCCCTGGTGGCGATCAAAAACAATCACTAAATTTTCCGGACATCCAAAAGTGGATCGAAGCTTTTGGAGAAACCACATCCATGCACTATGACATTCTTTATCGCCGATACCAAATGCCAAAGGAAAAATTTGTTCATTTCCGTCCTTTGTAGTTGCTACAAATAGGATGCCTTTATACTTACCCTTCAAATGCGTACCGTCAATCACAATAACGGGCCGACAATAACTGAGGAAGCCTGCAGACGCATGAAAAGAAATGAAAGCATACTCAAACACGTCATCTTTATCGGTCTCAATGTATGCCGATGTTCCAGGATTTTCCTTCATCGACATATGAAAATACGCCGGCAAAAGTTCCCAGGACTTCTTGTGATCTCCATAAATGAAGTCGTATGCGGCGCTTTGAGACCTCAAAGCTGTATTGTAGTTGAGCTTAATGCCATGATCACGCTCCATGTCACCCATAATTTCTGCAGGCTTCAATACTCGGCCCTCTGTCAACAACTTCGGCGCGAATAATGCTCCAATGATCTTTGCAGGCAATTGTCGAGGGGCTGAATGACTCAGGTTAACCAAGCATGTATGTGGATGAATAAAGTTTGAAATTTTCCAACCACTTCCAGTCAGTGCATTCGCAGAAAGCAAGAATGGGCAGTTTTTATGCTTGCACACAACCTTTAACCGAGAATTTGAAGATCTAGGTGTTCGGTACTCCACTTTATGCTTCAAATGGTATAACCCAACTTTTACCAACAAATCTTCCTTACTTTGAATGACAACGCCTTTGGCTAATTCACGGTCTATCATTGATGGCTCTTCAGACGAGGGATGAACATCAACATTGTGAAAAATGGCTTCGGGAATCCTCCAACCACTACTCGAACGAGTAGTAGTTTCATTCAAATTGTCTTCTTCAATAGCAACACCTCCAGAAAAATCAAGCTGAGGAACATTGTGGATTGATATACTCTTTTTGTTGCGTAGAATATGCTCATTTAAACCACCCATCATGTTTGAGGGGGACACAACATTGTCGTCGCCATCTTCACCTTCTTCCGAGCCAAGCATATCATCTTCTTCAATAATGAAATCCGAATCGTCATTGCTATCATCCATCTCATTCAATAAATCGTCATTGCAAGGATTATCGTTGATGTTCATCTCATTATTGTAAGCATCACAATAATGCCCGCCATCATCACTTTCATCATTCCCAGTTGAATCCCCATTCAACCCGCTATCCACACCCCAATCGACATGTTCGGGAGATTGGCGTGAGGCACCGGGTTGATTTGAGTCCATCTTTCTGGTGGTGTCGGGCACCGGGTTGTAGTTGTTCGTCGGATAAGATGTTGATGGTTGACTATGTAAGTTCATTATAGGTGGATACACAATACCATATGGATAGAGAGGTGGGCCCTGAGCAGCAACTAAATTCATAAACCCACCTTGACCCCCGGTATAGCCATACGAAGGGTACGTTGGTACACTTGCCTGATTATACGGACCTGGACTATCTTTCGGTTGTAGTGTAACATAGATAGTAGGTATTGTGAACATGAAAGACACATTTCGCAGATCTGCTTCACAAGAGATACGCCATTTCTCCACCTCTCCATTATCACCGGCCACTAAAAAGTGAAATCGGTAGTCACACATGTTTCTATCTCCACGAGCAATGTCATGAACTCTGTTTATGAAAGCTTCATATGATGAGGTCCTAAGACAGAAAAAATTCATCTCTGTCTCACCATTTTTGTATACATCACCATCCCAAAAGCCACTGTGAACAATTCTCACTTTACCAACATCCATCTGAAAATAATAAATAAAAAAAAAACTTAGTACAAATAATTTCTTCACCTTTTTTTCCTTCAAATGTGTTTGAACAAAAATATATATGAGTACAAGACTTTTTTTTTTTTGGACATATTTTCTTGTTCAAGAAACAGTTATTTCTTCAAGAAATAGTTTTTTTCGCGCAAGAAACGGTTTCTTGACAAGAAACTAACTTCTTCAGCAAGAAAATAGTTTCTTTAACAAGAAACTGGTTTCTTGTTCAAGAAACCCATTTTTGCTCAAAAAACCAGTTTCTTGACCAACAAATTGAGGTTTTGTTCAAAAAATTATTTTTTTGTTCAAGAAATTATTTATTCTTCAACAAACTATTAATTCATCTCCT